GGGTGTTCTAGTTGCTTGACATAATTTTTTCTGTTTTCATTTCGCCTCAACTGTTTTAGTTCTATTTATTTGGCAATTCGTTCCTTTCTCCCTGGCGTCTCATCTGTTTTTGTTTTTGTTTTCCCCTTGCTGTCCTCCCCCAGCCACAAGGACCCCCACGGTGGCAAAGCGTTTAAGGTGGTCACCATCGTTCTCGGAGCTGTCATTGGCCTCTTCATCGTGGTGGTCGTCAGTATCATCATCTGCAAAAAGAAGACGCTGAGGAGAAGACGTGCTGGTGTTGCTGGGCCTCCTGAGTTGGTCCCGGAGAAGACGAAGACTTATTTGGCAGAGCCACCGACCTACGGCGGGAAAAGTGGTATTACCTAGCTCAGTACAACGAGGAGTAGTTGGTCGTTTGATTGTCCCATGATAACGTTGGTTTTTTGGTGGTTATGAGAAGGAGGAGGAAGGGGAGAAGAAAATGGAAAAGGAGGAGATGGAAAGGGAGAAAAAAGGAGGGAGGAAAAGAGGGAGGAAGAGAGAGAGAGGGTAAAGATGAAGAGGAGAAGGTGAAGATGGGAGGAGGAAGGGAGGAGGAAGGGAGGACGAGGGGAAGGAAGAGGAGAGGAGGAGGGAAAGCGAGGGAGCGGAGGAAAACGAGATAAACAAAGAGGATGACAATGTGGATGAGGGTAAGAAGAAGTGATGATTACTATTACAAAAGTGAGAAATAAAGGAAGACCTTAAAATATGGGGGTGTTAGAACAAAGATGTGTACACACTTTTCAGTGTGTAATGATTGGTTTGTTTGATTTTTTGATTTTTTAGCCTCAGTTTCTAAATGAAGTTTTTATTTTTAACATTTCAATGTATTTTCAGAGCCTTGTTAGGCCTCGGAGCTTTAAGAATGAACAAAGAAAGGAGAAAGTTTTAAAAAGGATAGTTTGGACAAGTGGGTAGGGGGTGATAGCGAGAATACTATCATTTAAAAAAATAATAGAGCAGAGATTAATTACGTTTTGGCATCTGATAGCTCTGCGTTCCTCTGTAGTCGAGACACCGGCGTCCGTGATGTTGCACTTAGGCTCATCTCCTTGCATGCACGAAACCCGAGTTCCATTCTCCTTTGGGGAGAATTTTGCCTGAGCATCTCGGTCTTTCTACAAGGATGTTGTATCCCTCTCTGCCTGGGTTAGCACTGGCAGACAGGGTCGAAATCCGCATCTTAAATATTCTATAGTGTGTCGATTGGGGTGTGAAAAGACCCACATTAAATTAGTAGGTTGGCACTGACAGGCAGAGTCAAAACCCACCTCCTAAATAATCTAACTCGATGGATGTGTTTTTTAAAATGCCCACATTAAATAAAAATTGTCGAAAATTTTCCAACTCTCGCCTTTCTTTCACCTCGTCAAGGTGACCCGTTCCCACCAGTGGAGCCTCAGAAACCCCCTCCATACGTCATCAGCGGAGCCGCGCCTCCTCTCTACAACCTGGGCCCTTACCAACTGCCCGTCGACGACACCGCCTCGCCCACCGCCCCACCCTCCTACTCCACAATAGATCTGCAGGAGGCTGCGGGCGGGAATGTGCTGCAGGTTCGCCCCGCCGAGGAGAAGTGAACCAAGGATAGGGGAAGACGTCTGTAGTTCTGTGAGCGAGCTGCTTGGCTGTACATTGCGTGTTTGAGAAGATGTTCGCATATTTTGGCTCATTTTGCAAATAAGTTGCATAATATATCTCATGGGATGTGTACATTAATTGGCTTTCCAAGGGTTGGGGGTTCATACTAGTAAACCTGAATGAAATAAATGTACTGTAACCAGGAACGGGGGGGGGTTGGAATAAAACACTCAAAGCTCTGTGAACGTATAATATAAGTCCAAAGTTGATGGTAACCACCCACATTGCTTTATTCCATTAAAGCGGAAAAAATCCCCCAAAAAATACAGCTGTTAGTCTGCTATGTCATCCAAATTATTCTCACTCAGACGTTGCCATTCAGGTTTACTTGCAACCATCCTTGATGCCCCTCGGTCTAGTCCAAGGGGCGGGTAATAAACTAAGTAAGCAGGAGACACTTTGACGTTATTCACTTCCAACGGCCAAAGTTTTTGAAATTAGCAGTCGGGTCTCTTCGGCGTCTTAGGGTAAATAAGAAGGATTTAGTGATTGTCTTTTTCAAGAGAGTCACTAGGTTTGTCCTAAATCTCCACTTTACCCTATGTGGTCCTGAAGTTAAGAGTTAGGAATTTAATTTTGGAATTCTGAGGCACTGCTGGGGATATTACTGAATGATCTGAAGGCCACATTTTAACGAATCACAAAACCGTTCAGTTATATCACCATGGGTAATATTCTGGTCAAATGAAAGACATTAAATACTGAAAGTGTTCTTTTATTGTAAAGAAAAACAGCATTTCCATGGTCGTGTGCACGCCCAGTTGGAAAACTCCGTGACAGAGTCTGCAAGATGACAATAACAAATGAAATGAATTCTTACTCTTAATATTCGAATAAAGGATGCTGTTTGGTTTCCTGCATACCAAATACTATTTGAAAACTGCTTCTAAATCTTTTCTTTAAAATGCAGTTGAAGAGATAAGTTGAAAAATGCATTAGTTGTCCATTTATCGAATGTTAGTCTGCTTGGTGCATAAATGTATTTCGTCAGCCATGGCGTCTGTATCAGTCCTAAAGAAAAGTTAACAGGAACATGCGCTGCTCCAGGTGAGCCTACTAGATTACATTCTATTGTAGAGTTCGGCGCATCAGCAGCTGCGTTATCTCCACACGTTGATACACCAAATTGTTCGCTTACTGAACGAAAGACAAAACGTGATCGGTGTTATACGTTGTTGTAATCTATTATTGAAATATTCTCTTCTACGGTATCTTTCCTTCACCCATCCTAACCGACCCCACCTCTCTCGCCACACACAAGTGGGCAGAGAAACAATAAACTACATATGCAAAAGCACACAAACAAGTTGTTAAGAAGAATTGCGCACAACAGTTGATATGAAGGAAAAATTATGTAAATAAAAGGTCGTGGCTCCTGGACCAAAATCACAACCTGCCCACCACCGCTGAAAACATTGGCTCGCGATAACGAGACAGGAACGCTGAAATGCTAACACATATCATGTGTATGCGTCTCTCTCCAAAGTGCGGAGTTCCTGAATCATTTTTACCATATCTAAGAGTTCTTCACGCCATCCATTGTCCTTGGCGTTTGGCATGTCAGACTGGATAGGCCACCAAAAGGAGCACACCAGTATCACATACATGTTGGATTTGCATAATGTGAGGAATGTAATCTTTTTCATATAGTTTGGTTTTGTTGTGGTATAGTACCCCTTATTTTACTCAATGACCAATTTCAATATTTTCAAATGTTTCTAATATAACAGTATTTCTGTGTTTACGGAATTATTAAATTTCACTTTTGCTTTGTTTTGGTGTTTGGGTTTTTGTTTTTGTTTTTTGTTTTTTTTTCGTTTTTTTTTCTTTGTTTCTGGGTTTTTTAATTGTATTTTGGTGTTTTTGGGTCTTTTTTCTTTTGACAGCTAAATAATAAAACCCACTCTTAACAGTGACTTTGTTAGTTCTGTTGTTTTTTTTACAACAGTATGTCACCATAATTTTCTTAAACTTCCTGAACCCATGTGTCCCAATTTGGCGTTATCTTTTGTAAGATTTGATCAATTTTTGGCAGCATCTGTTAAAAATGTTTTAATGTCGAGAAATGTTACCACGAAACAACACAGATTAAATAAACTGCAGTGCTGGGTCAGTTTCTGTATAAATTTATTGCCGTCTCAGGGTTTTTCTTTTGCTTATTTCCCGTGGCTCTAGTAATCGGTGCGTTCTGGGCAGAGTGTTTCCAAGTTTGTCCATTTCGTAAACAATTTACCGACGCTTGGTTAATTTATTAATAAAATTTCAGTCAAAATTACATTTTACTGATCCCCTTTGGGAAATTTGGGTTACAGTGGCAAACAGACTTACATAAATGCATAACTATGAATACATGCATATATCAATACGTACATACAAAAACACATACATAATTACACAATATTACACCAAAACAGAATTATTTCACTAACATGCCATTGCTGGTCGCCACAGTGCAGCGCCTTGCGTTTTCAGCCAGGTTTGTCGTGCCTTGCTCAAGGACACACCCCAGTGACCACCCGTCTAGGACGCCACTTGCTCAAGGACACACCCCAATGACCACCCGTCTAAGCCGACACTTGCTCAAGGACACACCCCAGTGACCACCCGTCTAAGCCGACACTTGCTCAAGGACACACCCCAGTGACCACCTATCTAAGCCGACACTGTCTTGCTTGACATTACTTTTGAGTCTGACTCTGGGGCCCCTTGGACTTTTTGGAGTTTACTGTATGAGTTAGTTAGAAAAGGCACCAGAGGTCGACGTTTTTGTCCGTGTCTACAATTAGCCTAAAGCGCATGTTCTAGTAGTTCGCCTCCTTGTGCGCTGAAAGTGATGGGTGTGTGACTGTCATCTTGAATACGCTTTCTTCAGCCACGTGGTCAATCTTGAAAACGCAGAAGCATTTTTCTCAATTTCCTTGCGGGTTAACTGTATATTTGTGCAGTTGTTTGTTTTCTGTGCGGTTTAGTAACCCATTTGAGATTTTTCAAAACATAGCTCTAGGTATTTCGACAATATGGAAAAAGTCCGAACAAGAACAGGATTTCCACAGTTAATGAAGGGTTGTATTTAACAAATTACATTTTATTGCATCAACGTATTCTTTTACCAGATGTTTAATAACAATGTACATGTTCTGGTGTTACTCTTTAAAAAAATCATTATGATATGTGGAAACCGTATTATAATAACAAAGCAAAAGCAAGAACTTCTCCAGGACTTACTAACACACCGCAAAAAAGAGACATGCACTTGGACTTTTTGGAGACCTTGCTGGTTTCTATGGATCTCGAAAGAATATTAACACTGCGTATTTCAGGTATAGTAAAGTAGTGTAGCAGGGATATAATGCACCTTTCAAGAGTATAAAGTTATTTTAAAAGTTCAAGCTTAGATTTCTTAGCTATCTCTTATAGCACCGAGTCAAATGAAAGAAGACGCCATGATTTATTGAGGAATTTAATGTTGTGAGAAGAAAAACAAGATGAAGGACGTACCCTTGTGGTCTTGGACTCTTTCCTGGCATGCCGAAAAGCTACGTAGACATATTCTTGTAAGTAGTTTCACTCATAAATTTCAAGATATTGTTAAGCCAATTCTATATAAACACACACACACACACACACACACACACACACACACACACACACACACACACACACACACACACACACACACACAAACTGTGATTCTGGAAAAATAGGTAGTTTTTCATGCAACAAACAATTTGAGAATTTGGCTGGGTATCACCCATCTTGGGTATCACAAATACATTTTATATAGCGCAAAGCTCTTTTGGTGTGGTTCACTTAGCCTGAGATTTTTATCGAGATCAGAAGATTTTAGACGCTAGTTTATATACATATAGTGAAACATGAGCTATATAATGTCTCAGTCTAATGACCCAATCAGGTGGTTATACAAGTTAAAACAATTTCAAGAAAATAATGAAAGAATTTACACGTGGACAGTGCTTCGCTGTATTCAGAACACAACTGATTCTGTTTCATTTGAAAGCAAAAAACTAGAAACGACATTGTATTGTCAAAGCCATTGCTATGGATTGTCATTTAGCATTAAATTGTGTGAATGATTGTAGCAACTATCAGCAAGCATCTTATCATCGATACAACACTTATTGCTTGATCAGCATCATCATCATCATCATCATCATCATCATCATCATCA